ACACCAGACTCCAAATACCATATCAAAAATTTTGGCACAGGCTCAAGTTGAAAGAAATTTAGACTCAGCACAGCCTCCAGCTCCCAATAATGAGAAAACAAAATCTTTGGTGTACGCAATTCCTCGTTTGAATAGACTATACCTATACCAATACCTTCTGTTTCTGCATAATTCAAATGAACATGAGATATAGCAGTGGTTTGCTTAACCATTCTGAAGACATATCAGTACAACAAAAAACAAATACACAGCTTTAACTAAAAGCCACTTAAATTTCCTTGTTACCATTTCCAGTAAAAGTATTCATTCCAATGTTATTTCCTAAAATTTTATTTCCCATAGGTGGTTTTGTTAATGTGTTTAGTTTTGCAAGAGAAACATGAACTTCTTGACCATCTATGAGTTGACCATTCATCATCTGAAATAAATATAAAACAGACGGGTTTCGCTGATGGTATAGTGGTTAAGAAGGGAGGTTTTCACCCACTGGACATAAGAGGGTAAAAATGTGGTATTTGTCTGTAAAAAAGTGGGTTAGAAGTAGAACCCCACTCTATATATTTTGACAAAATAAGATTGGTAACCAAGGTCTACCAAGAAATTGATTGACCAAGAGTGTAGTTGTCTGAGACAACTAATTATTATATGTTAACTACCGTAGATACTAAAGATGAGAAACGCGAAAATTTTGCAATAACGAGTCTTCGCCATGAGGTGTTCATCACAGTATTCATATTCTGAATTTGGTGAGTGAAATTACTCAGTTTCATGTCTACCTCATTGCGAGTTCTTTGAGAGCAAGCGCAAGTATTACATTCCGTACTCTAAATTGCCCATTCCAAGTTGTCTCGAACCATCGATGAGTGGTATTGAATGTAACTCAATATATATTATATGTATACAGTACAACAGATGAATTCAACATGCCATTTCAGTAGTAATAATGTATAAATCATGTTAGGAGATTGGATGACTATGTATATATCTCACAGTAACTGCATATAAAGCATCTTCTCTTCTGTGGAAATGAACAAAAGCAAAATCCCGATCCTCAATTTTCTTTACTCTCTCAATGGATCCCGGTCTAATATTATTGAATGCCGCCCATACTGTAAATTCTGAAGTAGTCGGTTTCAAGTTTCGAACATAAACATTTTTCACTCGATTTGCGATGTCATCGGTTACCTGTTTGAATGACAATGGCAAAATGACAACCTCACCACATTGATGGATATGCAAAAGTGCAAAAAATAAGAAGCTTCAAAATCGAATCTATAATTTTGAATTCAAAGCCCCTTCTATTTGCAATACATTAGGCAAACAATTTTTTTCACAGACATGAAGATTTTGAATGTCTATCATGACTAAGCAAAAATGCTGAAGAGTATACACAAAGTAAAAATAAATATTCCAACATACATCTGATTCTGGATCAGCCCAGTCGACAGCAACTTCATATCCAAACAATGTTATTCTGCCTGGAATTAATTTTCTACGAGCCATTGCAGCAGCACGATGGCTTGCATATTCAACAAAGGCAAATCCTCGATTGAGCTCCCCTGGAATAGATATATAATATTAAATTTAAGGCATTTCTAGAAATACATGGGGCGGATTTATACAAATCAAAAAAGAACTTCGTTCAGATTATATAAAAAATAACTCATGTTAATACAGTGAAGTCGATCCGATAAAGCCAGTTGTATTCGCAGTAGTCTAATACATTGACCAGGATAGGATTTACATATTTATCCTGGAGAGAGGAAAGACTATAAGACGGCGAACCACAGCCTCTTGTCCAGTTACCAGTCCAGGTCAGGTATGGGATTAGTTAGCCAGGTATTTTTTTGGAAGCATGGTCTTGATCGTGGAGGAAGCTGTAACCAAAAACCGGTTACGTGAACCACCCTAAGGCGGCGAGGAGTCCAGCAATCCTCTCGCACATAATCATCCCTGCATGAGATTCGAACCTGCGAACCCACGCAGGGTAATCAGTGATACGGTGGTGAGCTGATTCCCATACGCTTAGTATGATGCACCACATCGCTGAGCCGACTACTTGTTTAAGCGTATTTTCCATTTGATGTATTTTATATAAAATGAGAATCTCCAACGGGATAGGGATTTGGGTCACCGTATAGTTCGTTTGTCCAATATCCATGAATTATTGCTACAATTCAAGTCTATCTCACTCAACCTCAAACTATGCAAAACAACTTCAAACTTATTTCACTCAGTAGGCTGTTTGCATGCTTCGATTAGTCAATGCAAGTTCTTTGGACATATGAAGTACCGGTACATATTCGTTTGCCATTTTGGCATTATAAAATGATCTGATTGAAATTTTCCCCAAACAAGTTGCACACAAGCAAAGGATATTGGGTGTATAACAGTGTATAAAATATCCATTCTTATGCACTATGTGTGAAGGGGAAAGTTTGGGTATAACAATAGCATAGTTGTCCACAACTCACCGACAAAGATGATCACAAAACAAATTACAAATTCATCGATACCAACAACATCCAAGATAAATATTTATCGTTACTCAGAATTCCATATTTATTCTGTATTACCTGGATTTGTACCAGGGTAGACAATAACATCAGTGACATCTTCTGTAATCTCACACATCGCTTGTCTAATCTCATCTTGACTTTTATCTTTAGGAATACTTCCCACAAACAATCTAACAAAACATCCGAAGACAAATCCAACCACAATAAAATGACGACAAATAAAGCTGTACTGATACGGCAAAATCCTATATTCTATCATCTAACAAAGACTTCTCTGATCTAAAACTTAATAATAACATTCTAATATTTTATGGTTTTGATTTCAGTAATGCAAACATGAGCTATATCATTTCTGAATGCAAACAGTACTTTTGTGTACCAATGAAATGAAGTTGATATTCTAATAATCTTGCAAAATGATAAATTAATAATATAACACTTTATAACAGGGCTGCATCGCCAGAGTTGAATCCACAACATTTGGTTGGAGCTGGATCAAAGCTTACAACATTAGATGAACTTAGTGGCGAAGCCACCAGGAATATTACTGGCTTCAGCTGCTAACCATTCAATTGTTTCCCACATTCATAATTTTCTTACAAAAAATAAAATCTAGTTTTCTAGGTTAAAAAACTGTTTAAATTTCATTTCTAATATAGATTTGGAAGTTTCAACTTAAATTCGTACATTTAAAACCGTTAATGCGCAGTTTTGAGTCCCACTTCCGCAAAACTGCATACCAAAAAACCTCAATGGCCATGGAGTCAGAGCTACAGATTGAATAAGCCCTGGCTCTGAAACCATTGCTCCGGCATTGCGATTTCAAACTAGTTCCCCTGCCCACGATCTTATAAAAAAAATATAGTTCCAGCCAGTGATTCAGGTAGCCAATAACAAACAGATAATCTTGTCAAAATTTCGGGCAATTGAACTATTCAAGTTTCGCTGTGATTCATTGTGAAGAATCTGTCATCTAAATTTCACTTGTAGTTGATATTAAGCTGACCAGTACAAAATTTTTTATTATCCATGGTTTAAGTTCAAAATTACAAGCAGTTGAAGCTATCTGTTAGTTCTGGTCACTTACTTGCAATTGTCCACACTTCTACAAACTCCAATTTTCATTCCTGGACGAATTTCAATATTATTCAGTAATTCTATCGCACGGATGGCATCTTCCTTTGTAGTGTATGTAACAAATGCATAACCACGATTATAACCACTGAAATCCATCATTAAACGTAATTCGTATATATGTCCAACCTAAAATGATGAGTATGTATTAATTTTAGGGCGCTCCAGAAGTGTATGTACCAATATGGAGGTAAATTATTTTATTCCCCTACTTTACATCAACTTGTATGATATGACTGAAACCTATAAGGGCAGGGGGTATATTCACTTGGCTAACACAGACAGTCCCCGAACTTGCAATATAACTAAAATAAGGAATATCGGAATAAAATAATGGCCTAACCCCAACCTGGTACATACACTACAGAGGTACCAATTTTGAAGTCATTTTGCATGATTTTTCATGAAAATGTCCCCACATACTACTCATTCTTACTACATTACCTTTTCAAATACAGGAACAATTTCATCTTCAAATAAATCTCTGGGAATCTTTCCCACAAAAACTTCGGTTCCACGAGCAGGTGGAGGTCCACTCCAATTCGGATTCCAATATCTTCTTTGGCCATTGCATTGTTGCATACCTATGATAAAAATGACGCAATGGGATAGGATTGGTTATATTTATTCCAAAGGGAACTTACATAGCACAGTATATACACAGCAATCATTTTTAATCTGTAACCAAAATAGTAATAATCTCAGAAACACTTTTTACAACAAATTTATATATAATAGCATACCGTGAAATAAGTAGCCTATATAAAATGTTTCATCGATCTAAACTGGTATCCAAACCTGATGATCTTATAAGATGAATCTTTCAAACTGTGTTAATCTTCCATTGGAGTAATGTATACATTGCCAATGTTCAAGTGATTTCCGTCTCAATCTATCTTTTTAGGCTTTTTATTAATTTAATTCCCATCATTAATTTGAAAGCTCAATTAATTTAAAAGTATAATATTGAAACCAGGAGCTGATGTATCATGCTTGCGATCAATCAATAAACAACAAAGATAATGGAGCAGAAGCCTAGCTCCGAGGTAAAAAATAAAGCTTTGCCAGAGCCACAGATAGAATATAAAGGGTTTCCGTACCTGGGGTCATTCATTGTAATTTCAAACCAGCTCAACAGCCCTGGTTTTAAATTATTTTATCTCCATTAAAATTATCAACAAAACTTACGATATCCTGTTCGGTTTTCCAATTCCAAAAGACGAGCCATCACTGCCTCGTTGGCAGGAGAATCAAGAGATTGGCTGCTTTCATTCGACATTTTCGATGATCTAATAAAACAACTTATGGAATGATGAAACACTGATATCAAACTTTTAGAGTAAGGTCTGTAAATGAAGAGTACAGAGTAATATCCAAAAGGGGTTCATGTGTCCTTGCATTTGTGTTACATGCTGGTTGGCAGACAGTAATCAATGAAAAATGAAACAGGTCAAGTTATTCAAAAATGACATCAATTTCACAAAATTTGTTAGATACGAGACCGTTTGACTGAGCAGGTTTATCTTATTGACTTCGCTACATGAAAAAATTATTTGGGCCTAAAGTCAATACCGCCCCAATTACTGTAACCATAAAGTATACCTGCCTAAAAAATACTATGACATCAGAGTCATGAATCTTAAAAAATCTGAATTATTAAAAAATAAATTACCAGAGCAGATAAAAAATTTAAAAACAGCTTTAAGTAAAGATTAACGATGTAAAAAGCTGGTAGTATAAACAGAACTGAAAAATCTTTATTATGTAATGTCAGAGAGTAAAATACGTTTTAGATAGACTACAAGTGTATTCATAACTTCTTTTTGAATTCGAATTTCAGTCTTGAATTGAAGTTTGATATGATCGAAAGAATCTTTGAGAATTGTAACTTCACATTGAAGTAAGGTTGACGCAACTCCATTTGGCAGTGTGCAATCGGAATGATTTTTTGTTAAAGGCGACTCCTCGATTAGATTTTTGACAGAACCTCCATTACAAACGCCATCAAGTTTTCTTTTTCGTGATCGTCGGCGGATATGAACCCAATTACATTTTTCACATTGTAATTTTAAAATAACAAGACTTTTGTTATTTTCTATTTCCATGAATGAAATACCTAAAATGCTGAGTTCTCTTTTAAGTGAGTCATACACATAATTTAATTCTAAAGTTTTACGTAAAGAAAACGTAATTGGCTTAACAACTTCCGAGTTTTTAGTCGCATTTTGTAGAGAAGAACGAGGCAATTTCGATTCTGTAATCATATCAGAACAAAAACTCCACCCAATGCCCCATCTGATAGTTCTTCCTTGACAAAATTCATATGTTGTAACTAGAATTTCACTGTATTTAGAAATTTGCTTCTTGAATGTAACAAAGCTGCTTTTCTTTCCCATTAGTATTGTATACCAAGTAACTTTTTGCTTTAATTCTAAACTTTCTTCAAAAAGTTTGTGAGCAAAAGCAAGATCACCACCATCTGTTATTGATTCAACATCATTTGCGTGACATGATGAGTTTGCAATGGGACCGATTTTAGTTTCTATTTCGCTTGAGTCATTGAAAAAGGGTGGATTGCACATACATAAATCAAGTCCATCATTTGCATCTTGGAATAAATGTAATAGCAAAGAAGTTGTAGCACTTTTGTCAACTTTGAGAACTTTTATCGATGACTTTAGTGAATTTTTTTCTATGTTATTAACAGCATTTTTGAAGTTTAAACTATCAATCTCAGTCGCAGTGAATTTCCAGTCTGGGTTATTTCTCATGCCCAGTAACGGATATATACAGGCTGACCCTGTGCCGATATCCACAATATGCCTTTGCTTGGTAAATTCCTGTGAAGTAGCATTCAATAAATCTTCTATCCATAAAATATAATTTAAACGAGATGGAACTGTAGGAGAAAGCCTATCTGAAGGAAGATCTACATCAAGTTCGAAGTCCTTATTTAATAAACATTTTGTTAATATTCTTACAACAGACGGAATTCGGAAATTTACAAATGCCTTTCCATTTGGATTGTATTTGACATATGGTTTAAATTCAGGATACTGTTTCGATAGTTCAATAAAATCTGGAGGATTATCTTTGTACCCATTCCTTGGGTGCATGTGTTTGTTCAAAGCCATAGCATAGTAAAGTGCATGAAATCTGCAAGAAAATATGAAAACTTGATGATTATGTAAATGCAAGAAATACTATCAATGTTGTGAAAGTAAAAAGATGTAGACAATCCATAACAGACATGATTTAGTCAGTTTCAACAAGATGAAGCTGATTTTTATGAAAAAACATGGCATCTTGATGATAAAATCAAGATATAAGTTCAATTTCGCAACACAAAAGATTCACATTTCCTTTTGATAACCAATATACAAAATGAGATACTGTAAAGAACAGAATTATGCATTAAAAAAAACGATGGAGCCATTCCTACTTCTAGAAGCGAAAATTACTTTCCAATATACGACTATAAAATAAACTCACAATACAACAGGAACATTTAGCACAAAATTTCATTTCAAATGTCTCAGAAATTGAGACTCCATTCTATAAAATTTTCACATATAGAAATATTATGAAAAAGTTACACAATCACACTATTTTAAGGACTCAGCGAAGATGGAATATCATAAATACCCAAGATATGAAATTGTATCACTGCCTTCTGAAAACAAGTAAATCAGAACGCAGAAAAAACGATATTATGAGTCTGACAAAATGATATTACCACCAAAACTGTTCGGCGTATTTAAGCATTTACGGCATGTACATCTTTCGCCGCCTTATTACTTTGTTATCAACCATCAATTGTCCTCGAAATTGTAATTAAAACAATATAGTGCACAGATATGACATTTTTTGATGATGGTCACAATTTTGAACGTGTTCAGGAACGACGTGACCTATTTAATACTCATATCCAGCTTGGTCCGGATAGACAGCAGAGGGACTAACCCTAGTCTTCTGCATCCCTTTCATTATCTTCATTATAATCTTCTACACGAACAGGTTGGTCTTCACTAAACTGCATAGCTGTATCAATATGCTGAAGTATTATATTAATGGATTCTTCATCAGATCTATCAAGTGGAAGAAATCTGACCATACTGTAATCGTCAATAATTTGACAAAGAGATTCTGTAAGTTTTTGATATTTTTTATCATGATATGTATCACACATGTCTGCTAAAAGTAGATTTTGCATTTCAGAATCTAAAAATTTTTGAAGATCTCGCTTTGAATGTTTTGAAAGAAGATCAACTTTGGTCATTACACTTAGATGTGTTATTTCAAGATTTATCATACAGGATAGCGAAGACAATGTACCTGATATGAATTTGCTTGGCTCTCCAAGAAATTGCGAATCAACGAGAAATACACCACAAGTTCGAAAGTCCCAATTTTGTAAATTTTCTACCAAAGTTTTCATAACAGGTAAGTGCGTGTATAGTTCAATTTGACCAGGGCAGTCAAATAGAAAATAGCTATCCTCTTCCATGTCTGTTATGAATTCTTTAATCCAGTCCATATTTTTAGCAAAATACTCCATGCAAAATACTAAGCCCCCATTAGGCCCAAATCGTAACTCTTCATCTTCCATCACATCATCCAAATGAATGAGTTCCCTGATATCCAGTTCGACAGGGTAATCAAAATATTCTGCAGCAGGATCTAAGTTTACAACATAACATTTCCGTTTTAGCACCGAAAAATGCTCCACCATCATTGAACAGTATGTACTTTTTCCACTTCCAGCAGGTCCCATCACCAATTGAGCATAACGTGGCATAGTGTCAATTTTACCTATATTCAATATCTGTATTCTAATATCTGAATTAAATGGGACATTATGTTTCAAACCCGGCTGGGGATCCAGGGAGATGTGACATTTTGGTGGAGCTGGAGTCAAACCTAAAATGTTCGATGGAGCTACCAAAAATTTCAGTGGCCACAGCTCCGAACCATCTGATTGTCTTTTATTATTTATAATTTTCCAATACATCACACAAATGAGAAAATCTATCCTTATCAGCTCATAAATTTCCGTACAGAACTTCATTTTATAGGCTAATCTTAATTTAAAATGCCGGCCGAATGCGGCTATTTGGGCTGGACTCGTGTCCGAGTCGTGGTCTGGTATGAGCGGCAGGTTTAAAGTAGGGTAAAAATCCAAATAAATACAAAATTTATACCATTACCATGATGTGATTAATTTAATATAATCTAGCCTAATAGATGTCCAAAGAAGTTGAGTTAATCCACATGTAATCCACTCAGCAGTTGTATATAATTTTAATTTACAGGTAATCAGTTTATTTTAGTTAGCATGAAAAATGCAACAAGAATACAAAAATTAGATAGGAAATATAGAAAAATCTAGGCTTTTGTATTGGGTTTTACCTATTCGCCACGTATGTTCCATAGTTTATACATCATCCTCTTAAAAAAATGATGTACAAATAATACACTTTCAATAATTTTCATAGTATGGTGTTGCATATAAAATTACATCATGATTGACCTATGTACAGATGTATAAGTATAAGATCATCCATGTGCTCATATACCAATAAATCATTTCTTTCGCTTGTTTTTAGTAAATTCAAAATCCCTACTAGTTTACACTTGAAAATTGAACGTATAGGCCTAGTACTTTTTATTTTATCTATTTCATCATATTTTACTGAATTTCGATTTTTGACACTTTTTTATCTGACACTTCATCAGGCATTTTGGGTCTGGTATAGTTTAGTACCACACGTACTCCTAGTTGACCTGGCTCAACAATTTTTGCATATGTCAATCCTAACACCAACCTAACTACGTCACCGAAAAATTACGTCATTTCGACGTCACAGTGGCGTAATAAGGCCCACCAAAGTAAGCGAATGGTCGTCAAAACGCGCAGACGATCACCCAAAATCGAGCAAGCTATTTCTCTTGTAGCTCGCCACAACGATCACGATAGGAGAGAGATCGCCGGCGTTAGCGAGTTCGTTATCGGCGGCGCATATGCCATTTCGGGCGATGTTAATTATACTTTGGCAAGCCCTATGACGCGATGGTGACGTCATAGTGACGTATCTTTTTGATAGCATAGTCAGGTAGGGGTTAGGAATAACATATGCAAAATTCATTATGCTACGCCCACTGGAAGTACTTGTGGTACTAAACTATACTAGACCCGGCATTTTATTCATTGCAGTATTGTTACGTTAGTAACATTGGGAAAACTTGTTCAATTTCGCAGTTGTGTTTGTATTTTATTCCTTTCGACGGTCTCGTGTAGTTTCGTACCTAACGTACTTCTAGTAGGCGTAGCATAACAATTTTTTGACATGCCAATCCTAACCCTCACC